GATATGGAGACGCTGGAGCAGGTCACACTTAGTTTATATAGTTAGTTAGTTAGTTAGTTAGTTAGTTAGGCACCTAAATCTTATGGTATATGCAGAACAGATTGTAGGACAAAGACAGTTTTTTCTAGTTTTTCTAGTTTTGCCTTTGGACATAGAGTCAATGTGTAACAGTGGTGCAGAACTTTAGCTTTAATTCAGTGGGTTTAACAAGAATGATTATATTAACTTTTGAAGAATTACTGACATTTTTATACTTAGTATCGCCTTGCAGCAAACTTCAGTTGCTGCTTGTTTGTGCGTCCCTTTCAGTTTTTTATCTCACAAACCATACTGTTACTTTTGCAGTATTCTTTGGGTCATCATCCATTCACACTGTGAAATGCTGTCTGATCAGTTTTGCTATGTACAATTTTGCATTTATCCTGATAGTTCTCTCAGCAGCCACATCATCAATAAACACGAGTGACCCAGTTCCACTGAGAGCCATTCATGGCCACGCCATTACATTCCCTGCACCATGTTTGACAGATAATGCGGTATGATTCAGATCATGAGTGTTTCTCTCCTTCATACTTTTGTCTTCCCATCTGGTGCAAGTTAATCTTGGTTTCATCTGGCCAGAACGTTTTGCAGAACTGTGCAGACCATTTTAGATGTTTTTTGGCAAAGTCGAATCCATGTAACCAGTGGTTTGCACCTTGTTGTAAACCATTTGTATTTCCATTCATAAAGGCTTAGTTGTGTAATTGTTTTTCTTAACCATGGAAATAATTCTCTCATCATGCACTTTAGTTGTCTTCTGTGGTCTTTCAAACGTTTTAGTGTTGCTGAGTTAGCCGGTTCAGATTTTTTTTTTTCCTTTTTTAAGACTGAAGCAGATGGGCGATTTGGACATTCCTAAAATTTTTGTTATCTCTTCGATAGATTATTTTTGATTTTCTACCCTTATTAATCCCTACCTTACTTACACCAATATATCCTTGCAATGAAAAGCTATACTATTCAAATTCAGCACTTTGAAGCAACTACTTATACTTGTTTAATAAAAAAGTGCTTTAGTGTTATTACTCACTTGTATGTAAGTGAATAAGTTCATTTATCAATTCCAATTACATTTTTTCTTCTTCTGATACTTTCAAATTTCCTCCTTGAAGAAAAAATATCTAAACATATCTAATCCATAAACCAGCTCACCTTGACGATTTGCATATACATTCTCATTCAAATAAAAACATATACAGAAAGACAAATACAGCTAATGGCTAAAGCAGTTAGACTGTGCATGAATTAGAAACTGTATGTGAAAGGCTATGTCTGCCATAACAGAATGGCAAGTTTGGTTTAAAGACAGAAAACCCCCACATGTCCCGTTCCACATGTGCACACATTTCCACATCCAAGTTCAGAAGATGCACATAAACGTGAATATAAAGTCCATAGTACATGTGTAGATTTTCTCTGCATACACATTTATTCCTTTATAATACCACAGTTATGTTTTTGTGTGCTGCAATTATTTTTGTTATTGTGTCTTCCACTTGCTGTTACTTATGCTTTCCGTGAAGGAAGGACCTCTTTGATTCTCTTTTCCTCTTTTGCCCTCCCTACCTCCTCCTTTTTGTGTTGTTACGTGCCAAAGTTTTCTGAGAGGGGTATTCCTTGTTTTGTTTTGTTTTTTTCAGAGACTTTGCGCCAGCCTGGGTCAGGAACTGTTTCTGTTGTGGCGCAGCAAAGCTCTTTGAGACATTGTATATGATATCGGTCTGTACAAATAAACTTATCATGACTTGTTTGCAACTACATCATAGTTACAAGGCCAGGATGTGTTTGAATCAGAGTGGTTCTTTTGTACACTGTCAGTCAGCCCAAGACGTCACTTTCCCATGATTTGCTGTTATTTGTTCTTCTCTCTGCTTACTAAAAAGGTCACCTGGCATTTACCATGAGGTTTTAATCGCCATGTAAGCTGGAGAACACGCAAAATGGCTTTTACCGTAATAGAATTTCAGGGGCCTTAATTTTTGCCAGCTGTGAGCTGTTTGGCTTCGGTATTGACAGAAATGTTGACGGACCACAGGCCTACCCATGAGGAACCCTCATAACAATAAATGCTGCTTCTGGGTGTGCTCACATTTCTTATTCTATTGTTAATGGATTGGATTTTGATTATCTTTACCTAATTCTGATATGAAATCACTTATAAGATATCCCCTTTTAAGCTATTGCATTTGAAAGTCTTGAGTAGAAATCAAAAACACGCATAGACACAGCCAAACATGTGCGCCAATATGTGTGCCAATAGCTTGTAAAAAAAACTTCCACTTTAGCAGTTGAGTCATACATCATTTTGCACGTGTGAACATATTCAGTTAATCAGCCCATTCTCCACTCCTAGGGATGCATACACACACAAACCCTCCTCACGTTTCCTCTCCTGTGATACCAGATGAAAATAGACATGCACATCTTCTCCATACTCTCTAAAACAGAAGGTGGTATGCAAGGGGTTACCAAAGTACACATGCTTGACCCCAATCCTGCACTATGTGTTATGGCAGCAAATTATTCTTCTTGTAGATTTTGGTAATGATCTCCAGAAAATTGTGTTTCAAAACTAGTATGCTAACTTATGTTGATATTGTGAGGCCAAGTTCTAAAACACAAATGTGTATTTTAAGTTCTTTTCAACTCTTTTGTAAGGGGACTGGTATTTATATAGCACGTTTCTGCTCTTACTGATGCTCAAAGCGTGTTAGAAGGAATTTAGAGTTGCTTTCAAGATAGAGATCAGGCACGGTAATCTGTCTTTATTATTCTGAACAAAATCTGAATGCTTTCAATTTTTGTTAGCTCTGCTTTTTTATAGTTGCATGGTGTGAGCAAAATTTCAGAGTACTCCTCACCACTCTCAAGGTGCCAGAACTGTCAGTGTTCCTATGAAGGATCAGTCTAAAGGACTAGGTTGTGTTGTGCTGTGCTGCATAAATTGTATTGTAAATTAGTAGGGAAAGAGGGTAGGTTCATTGGTTTAACAATTTGTTGTAAGAGTAATTAAAATATTTATTAGTTATGCAATACCCACTATGGTCTTTGGTGACTCTTTGAATTGATAATTGTATAATAATTTGTCGTTTTGATCAGCTAATTAATACCAAATGCTGCTACTTAAATATACGTTCTGTACCGTATGTCCAGTAATACCTTACTAAATCATTAATTAACGTAATACAAGATAAGTGAGTTATGAATTGATGGCAGTTACTGGGTAATCTACTACAGCTCTTTCATTTAATCCTTTCATCTATTTTTACTTGTCACTATTTAATTTATGCAAAAATCATGTCCTAGAAGGTTTGTGTGAATATGCTATTTCAAATCTTCAGAGAGATACTTTTGTTGTCTGTCAAGTTTTTGAAAGTGCCGTTTAAACCAAGCAAATAAAAAAAACAAGAATTTTGTCTTAGCAACAAACAATAACTTACTTGTCAGAGACTAAGCTCTCAGTTTGTCAGTAGCCCTGTCACTTGATTTTTGCAAGTCAGAATAATAATAATAAAAATAAAAATGACAAATCTCCCCAACTTCTCCAAAAACTTCTGAAGTATACTTTAGTGGCGTTTCAACTTTTTGATTTACCCTGATCATCAAAACATCCACTGACGACATCATTCTTCTCCACGACCACATCCAAAATCATAAAACATAATCATAAAACTCACTGCCTTTTTTCTTGTACAGCCTCGCTCTTTACTAGTTCTCTCCTGACCTTTTTTTTCTTTTTTTCTTTTACTGAACATTTGTGCATGCTGTGTTTTTTGTATTATTTTTTATTTTTTTAGACTCTGTGATGGAACAGATTTGGTATTTGGTATTATTTGAGTTTTTTTATTGTTGAAAGTTGCTTAAGGTGAAAGATAAAGTTTAATTTCTATTTGAACTGTGCGCTACAGGACATACCACCAACATCCCTGAGATGTTGTTTTGAACAAAACTGATACCAGTATTCAAAACTTACTTTCAGCCTCACGCGGACTTTAACAACAATATAAATTAACACAGTTTGAGAGTGATGTTTAGAAAGGTAAGACCTTTGGAGGAGTAATCCTGTAATAGTGCTGGAATGTGTTTGGGGGCAACCTCCTATACACAGAGCTCTTTCTGTGAAAAGGTCAAATCATTCATTCGTGCAGTTCTTTTTCCTCTTCCTTGCAACCTTTTCTTACCATCCCCTTGTGCCCCACCAGCCAGACTCTCTGTGTTTATAATTTGGCACACGTATCATAAGCTAAAATTAAGCTGCCCTTTACCTCATGTAGAAATAGTTTAAAATCCAACTATTTGAGAGCTTTTAAACCACAGTAGTTTGACAGGTCTCGCCTTTTTTCCATCACCCCCATGAGTACTGGAAACTGATGTTGTGTATGCCTGTGTCTAAATGAACAATTGTGCATTGCTTTTCTTGCACAGCTTGTGAAGTAAGCTGTTTTTGAGACACCACTGTGTTCAAGGAGGTGCCAGTGTAATAGCAGCATGTACAATAAGTCAAAATGTGTATGAAATCCTGTTCTCTTTACAGTTCTGTAATGTAATGTGAATGGGTTCCTGACAGTAAAAAGTCCCATTTGTTATGGCCTCGGCTTGAGCAGGCAGAGGTGAAACAACATCATTCAAATTGCACAGTTACAAGAGCTCCATGCCTAAATGTAGAAATCCATTCATGACTAAGCTCGTGTTTTGCACTGTTGTTTTTCTTATGTTAAAACATGTGGTGGAACCAAAACATGTGGGATTGTTTCGCAATAGATGGAACAATAGATAAAATGCAATGTTGAAAGATACGTTTGCAATTGTTCATTTTTTCCCCCCTCAAAATATTTAATAGTAAAACAGGCCAAATAACATTTCCAAAGTGACCTTTTTGTAAGAACCTTTCTTTGGTTCAGACTTCAATTCGTGCTTTCATTGTTTTCCCTTTCTTTCCAATGTTATCTCTTTATAAGGTGAGGTCCTGAGCTTGATGGATGATCTGTTTTCTGGTTTGGGTTCGTCCTGTGTTGTTGCTGGGAGGAGGAGTGGAGACCATCCCCACTCTGTGCTATATTCAGTGGTCTTCAAGTGCCTGGAACCCGACAGCCTCTACAAGTAAGTCTCTTCTTTGCCCTCTGCCTCATTGAACTACACCAAGTCAATGGTGTTTGTCACTGCCTCTTAAAATCAGTGGGCAGAAACATATTCTCTCAATGGCCCTAAAAAATTAGAATTTTACAATGAAGGCCACCATGACAATGAAAATCAAGTTTAGTTTTTGCTGCTCCATTATTCACCAAGAGCCAAGAGGTAGCTCCACATGTTTAATTTGGCCGGGTTCTCTTGCCGGATGCCCTTCCTGACGCAGCAACAAAGGGATTTCAGTCCCCTTCCAGGATCAAACTGGGGAGCTTTTGCTTGCTATGCAAATGTACAAAACACTACCCTACAATATACAATACCAGCCGAGCATTTGGAAACACCTTCTGATTTAATGTTTTTTTATTTTATTTTCATAACTCTTTAAATTGTAGATTATCACTGAAGGCATCAAAACTATGGAGCAGTTCGAGTATGGAGTTGAAGCAATGTCCAAACAAAAAGCAGTTCAAAAAGAGTTATAACAAAATGATCTTCATCATGAGTGATAAAGAAAAGGAAATTATTGAAATTCAGTCAATGTCTCTGTTTAGGAAATTTTATTTATGCTCATTGAAACTGGAGGTATTGGTGTGGAGGTAAAGTTATAGGATCACAAAAACATAATGATATGATGTGGTGTCTATATTATATTAGAAATATGTTCGTCATTATTACTGCAGATTATATCAGTAAGGAAGCTGATTAAATATAGACTGATAACTTATGGCAAAGAGTGGGATTAAATAAGTGTGTACTTCTTCCCACTCCTTTTCGATATGTAACTGAATCACTACAGGTGAAATAATAATGAAATATATTAGCTTTAATTTGTATCTTTTTTTTCTTCTTTTATTTGCTAAATGAACTTTGTATATTGTTTACATAATCCAAACTATGAATGAACACGTATGGAATTATGTAAAAGTGTTAAATAGCTCAAAACATGTTTTATATGCTAGATTCTTTAAAGAAGAATCCCAAACCATTTCGATTGGGTTTAGGACTGTGGAGGCCAGGCCATTTGGTGCAGCACTCCATCACTCTCCTTCTTGGTCAAATAGCTCTTACACAGCCTAGAGGTGTGTTTGGGGTCATTGTCCCGTTTGACAAATAAATATTCACCTTTTCTGCACCGCACAAAGACACGGTGGGTGGAACCAAAGATCTCAGATTTCGACTCATCAGACCAAAGCACAGATTTCCCCCTGGTCTAATGTCCATTCCTTGTGTTTCTTGGAACAACAAAGCTCTTCTGCTTGTTGCTTTCCCTTAGTAGTGGTTTCTTTGCAGCTATTTGACCATAAAGGCCTGATTCATGCATTATTAGTGTCCTCTGAACAGTTGATGTGGAGATGTGTCTGCTACCCGAACGCTGTGTGGCATTTATCTGAGGTGCTGCTAACTTGCGATTTCCGAGGCTGATGACTTGGATGAATTTATCGCCAGTAGCAGAGGTGACTCTTGGTCTTCCTTTCCTCATGTGAGCCAGTTTTGTTGTAGTGTTTGATGGTTTTTGTGAATGCACTTGGGGACACATTCAAAGTTCTTGAAGTAATGATAGACTGCCGTTCCTCTTTACTCTTTACTGTACTAACCTGACTTCTGCACAACACAACTGATGGTCCGAACCCCATTAATAAGGCAAGAAATTCCACAAATGAACCCTGACAAGGCACCCTGACAGGTGACTACATCATGAAGCTCATCGAGAGAAGGCCAAGGGCTTGCAGCGCTGTCAAAAAAGCAAATGGTGGCTACTTTCAGGAGTCTAATAATCTAAGCTTATTCAGCCTGTTTTCATCCACAGGGTGTCAAATATGGCTTCTGTCAAAAAGCTATTTTTCTGTGTTTCATAGATAACTACAAGGTTTACTGTGTGACTCATGCTTGAAAAAGACCCCTGTAGTGTCAAAGTTTCACACACTTGATAGGATCATTTCTCACCATTTAGGTTTAAAGTAACCAGTAACCTTGTATTTCTTAGTGCCTTAACTAAACCAAAAAACTTTGAATACTTAAACATAACCAGACAGTGAGTGAAAGAAATTTTAAGGCTGGTTCAACTTTCCAAATGTAACATGAGTCACAGTCTCCTGGTTGTATGTCTGTGCAAGTTCTTAGTCATCCAGATCATTTTAGTCCTAAATGCTTGAATATGTTTCAAGATGTTTGAAGACATTTCACTTCTAATCTGAGAGGCTTCCTCAGCTCCAAAAACTGATGGGGAGTTCCAAGTAATTCATCCATTATAATTTTGTCCTCTTTGGAGGTGATCCTGAGAGTTATTTACTCCCCAGTCATCATGTGAATCGTGAGGGGTCACATGAGCCAAGGTGTGAATTAAGCCATTGGTCATTGCAGTCACAGGAATCAAGGTGTGAATCCTTTGTAAGCCATTGCCTCACTGTGCCATTGTGTGAGATATTAAGGGTCACATGTTCGAGGTGTGAGTAGGGGTTGAAATGCCTGGGAAGTGATCTCAAGACTGCCTTTCAAGTAGCTGATAGTTGGTGTTGGAGGCCACCTCTTATGTTCAATAATAGTTGTTCCCAGTAGACAAAGTTGGCCTCCTCTATTTCTCACTCAAATCATTTGTCTCCTTGGTCCAAACTTTGGAACTTTTCAAACCTTGAAAGTGTATATTTTTTGTCCTTTGAATGCACATGAAGGAGAAAGGACACTTTGTGCTGAGGATTGTTATCTCTCGACGTGAAATATTGCTGCAGCCTTGTGTTTAAGCACCACCATCACGTCACCTCACCTCACATATCCTGTCTTCTTTTTCTCTGCCCAACCGGTCACAGCCACCCCTCCCTGAGCCTGGTTCTGCTCGAGGTTTCTTCCTGTTTAAAGGGAATTTTTCCTTCCCACTGTCGCCAAAGTGCTGGCTCATAGGGGGCTGTTGGATTTTTTCTCTGTATGTATTATTGTAAGGTCTACCTTACACTATAAAGTGCCTTGAGGCGACTACTGTTGTGATTTGGTGCTGTATAATTAAAATTGAATTGGAGCCTATCCCAGCTGCCATAGAGTGAGAGGGGAGGCACACAGGCCACCAGTCTGTCACATTGAGACAGAATAAAGTTTATGACAGTTCAATTAGAGAAAAACTGAACAAGTTTTTTTGAACACCTCAGGCCACGGTTGTCTGGCCCTAATGCACAGTGCCGCTTTTGGTGAAAAACAATATTACTAGTCATTCAAGGTAGTCGAAGTCTGATGAAAAAGGCCTGTTTTTTAACCATTTGATCTGGGCATATATCTAAAAAAACAAACAAAAAAAACAAATTAAACTCGCACGTTACAGTGCTCCAGTCAAACTCTAGAAGTCAACCCAATTGAAATGCTGTGGAATGACCTTAAATAAAGAGTTATGCATAAAAGAATGCCTGCAGATCTTAATAAACTGAATCAATGCTGTAAATAAGGGAGGGAAGAAAATTTCTCTGCAACAAAGTGAGAGACTGATAAGGTCACACAGAAGCAATTTCTTCAAGTTATTGCTGCTAAAGGTGGTTTGTCAAGCTACTGAAGCATGGGGTTTGCTTAGTTTCACAGGACTGCATATAGTCCTGTAAGCTCAGCTAACACTGATTTAAAGGTTATTATAAGTTGTCATTATTAAAATTCAAACGTCATCAGAGATTGCAGTATGTCACCAAGAGAGCATACTCATTTAAATTTGTATGTCATTCTCTGGCACATTTCTGGGTTTCAAATCATAATTTATTGCAACTAAATCGATTTGTCTCATTTTTATGATGTTCATTTTTTTCCATTACCATAGAGTTTAAAAACCTTCCATTAAGCACTATGTTGTGATTATATTTTTTTCAGCTTAACAAAACAACAATAGGCAAATACCAGCAACTCCACATCCTCCCCGGATAGGGCACACTTCCTACTACATATATTATTTTTGTTTTAGTGGGTACATTTTTGTTACTTTCTCCTCAGCAACAGCTGGACTGACTTAACCAGGGTTGCATACTTATTGTCAACACTGCAGATGCTTCCATTCTGTAATGTTCTCAGTCACGATCAGAGGTTTTAAGAAACAGCATTTTTAAATTCAAAGAACAAATTCAACACAATTGCAGTAGTAATTTTGCAGTACCTGAGCATCTAAGATTAAACAAAATTCAGTTAAAACTGCATCTCAGCAATTTTGCTCTTATTATTTTTCTGTAGGTAGACATGTGTAGTAAAAGTGATTATTTAATTTATTATTTTTATATTATTTTGAATACTGTAGCTTTACCAATAGCACTTAACCAGAGAGTGGTTTGTTCATGGTGTAATCAAGAGTCATGGTGCCCTGGTGTCTTGTCTTCACTAATCAATAAACTAATCAATTATCTGTGCTCTATGCACATTAATATCAACCCACTTTGTTAGGTACAACTGCTCATTAGGGCAAATATGTAATCAGCTAATCAAATGGCAGCAGCTCAGTAGATTTAGGCATGTAGACATGGCCACGATGATCTGCTGAAGTTGAAACCAAGCATCAGAATGAGGAAGAAAGGTGATTTACTTAGAACATGGCACGGTTGTTGTCGAACCTTGAAGCAGATGGTCTACAGCAGCAGAAGACCGCACTGGTTGGCACATCTGTGTGCCCATCTTCTGATAGTTGCTTTCAGCAGGATAGTGGGCCATGTAGCAAAGTTCATCTTATTAAATCATCTTAAACTGCTTATTTGAACATGACAATGAGTTTTCTGTATTTAAACAGCCTCCATTGTCACCAGATCCCAATCTAACAGAGCACCTTTGGGATGTAGTGGAAAGGGAGATTCACATCACGGATGTGATCGTGTCAATATAGAGATTGCCAGACCACGTGACTTTCGCGCATTGCATGCCGTGAACTCGTGGCAAAACAATCCAAGTACCGCATCAAATGCAAGCATTTGCAGCACCGCAAAACGTTCATTCTTCGGTTCCAATAAATTCTTGCTTTTTCTTTG